AAATTCAAAGCGGTTCATCAGATTCAGCTGAAACCGCTTTTTTGCTAAAAATTTTCGAAAAATTTTGGTCTTTTGGCCCAATAAGACTTAGATAATTTTAACACATAAAGCATTTTATTCAGCTGAATTTCTGATGCTTCTTAAAAACATGACGGCAGAGTTTTTAAAATATAATACAAAATTTAGTATCACTGTAAAATATTCAATTTTTTTTTAATTAAAATTTATTAAATAACGAATAGAAAGTTGGGAACTGTCCTCTTTAATTTAAAGTTAAATGCTTTTCTAAATTTCCAGCCTTTTTAGAAGTTTTTTATTACCCATCCACTTATGCGTATGAAACTTTTGATGCACATTTCGTCATGGCGCGCGGGCAAATCCATCGAGCAGAATTTAATGGGACGAAAGACGTGTACTCTGCTCTTCTGCGTGTATAAATATCAGAGCAGGCGGTGGCGGCGTTTTTGGCTGGCTCACTCTCTCACATCTGCATTATTGCTCATGAATATTTAAGCGGCCGTTTTACGGGCGTCTCATTTTTGTTATACCGAGAGAAAAAAAAAGTTGGTGTGTGTGCGGGGGGTTGCGAGGGGGTTGCCGCTTTTTTATATATGAAAAGTGTTAAATTGGATTTGGTAAATCCCACGTGTCGTATGAATGATATCCATCCTAGGCAGGCCTCAGATGTTTTTGCCGCACACACCTCAGGGGAAATAACTTGCCGCTTAAAATAAAAAAAAGAAGAGCAGCGAATTTCGCCGGGCTGCTTCTTCTTCTTTAAGGCAACGCCGAAGTTAAACGTCGCAAAGTGGATCTGACAGCAGACAACAGACTAGCAGAGCCCGGCGGGTCCCGCCAGGACCATTTGGGGTTGGCCAGATGCGGCCGAAGGGATGAAGAAGCCACTTCTTGCCCCGCCACACCACTCGATTCCGCCCTCGGAAAAGATTTGCACCGACCCCTTCGATACGTGCGCGCTCATCTCGGCCTTGCTTTTCACACCAAATCATCACATTTTGCCGCAGAGATGGAAAAATTTCTCTATATTTAACACCACCTTGAGATAAATCTCGGATAATTTTAGAAGAATTGAATTGAAATAAAATTTAAATGCTGTTATTAATGCAGTTGGAAAAGTTATAGACAACAAAATACATTATGCACATTTTTATTTTCTGAAACTTTTCAGATATTAAAATCGCATAATAAAAAATTCATTTTTTTTTTTAATTTTTCAAGAGAAAAGTGATTGTTGTACAAAATAAGGGAAATTGAACGCTATAAAAAATTAAATTTATAAAAAAAAATGATAAAATTTGATTGGTTTGCTGAAAATTTTGAAACATTTCAAGTAATTTCATTGTAACTTGTTACAAATGACTGAGTAAAATTTATCGCTTGCAAGCTGTGAACACATTTGTAGCGCATTAAAATCACACCTTATTACTCCTAATACGAAACCCAATGTGCGCAGTGAAATTGCCACTCACCAGCGCAGAGTGAATGAGTACATATGTGTGAGCGTTAAAATAATATGCACCTCTCACTCAGCGCGGCAATAACGGCCAATTATAATGAAACACAATTTATCTACGTATATTATTTTATAAATTGGCCTCACTTGCCCTGCCGCATGAGTGTCCCTGTGTGTGTTAAACACGTGTGTAATTATTACAAACAGCCTCTAACGCCGCCCGCCGCATGACTTTCGAAAGCACAGATTATTTTACTATTATTACACCGGCCTGTGTGTTTTAGTCATTATACTGAAAACGCGGCTCACAGTTATACATAAACGAGAGGCATCTCGTTCATAATTGCCCCATGGGCTGACTGAGTTGACGTAATCCTGCATAATATGCTGCCACAGGGTGGAGCGGCAAGTGGGATCTGCCCAAAATTGGTTCAATACTACTCAACGACTAATTGATTTAAATTATTATTGCCATTGTTCGATTTGGGACTTTGAATTTCAAATAGGCGTGTGTGTAATTTGGCGGTAAACGGGAGGTCTTATTTATGAATGATCTCAGAACGGAATATGAGAGCATTTAATACTTAAATTTTCTTTTTTTAAGTAAAAAAACTGTTTATTATTAAGTATAGAAGAAATGTTTAGTAAGATTAACGAAATTAGATTTAAAAAAAAAAATATTAGGAGATCAAGATAATAATTTTTCTAAAACATGTTTCCAGTTTCCAATAGACCTTTTTAAGTTTTAAACAATTTAAAGAACATAATATATAATTTAAAATAAAAGAAGGAATGCAGGTTTCTTAGATGGACTCGTTTTGCTAGTTAAAACCAGAGTTGGGGAACAATCAGCACCAACAATTAAAATCGTTGCAGGCATAATTTATTAACAACTTTAATTTCGCCTCTTCATTAGGTGAAATTTCCAAACAATGAAACTTCTAAAAAATTAAGAAATTAAATCTTAATAAGAAAAAAATCGACCAAAAACACTTATTTAATACTAATTCTTTCACCTGAACTTTAGTTCCTAAAAATCTTCCAAAAAACAATATTTTTCCTAATTTGTTGCAGTTTAGTGTTCAATTTTTTTTTAATATAAAATTTAAAAAATTCTTAAATAAAGGATTGACATAAATTTGTATTTAATTTAACTGTAAAACAAAGTCACTATTTTTTTTATACAGAACCAATTAATATATTTAATTCTAAAATTTTAAAGTTTACGACGAGACTTAAGTCTCGAACTAAATCCTCCATTTTGCTCCAGTTTGCTGAGCGATGAAAGTGGGTACTGATGGCGTCATCGCGATCATTTATCACGCCGGTCTCGCTCGCTGGCTGCTCTCGCCAGCTACTTTTATTGTGTTTTGTTTGGCGTGTGTGTATAATAAAGGAGGAGGAGCCACGCTGAATATACAGAACATAAACAGCAGAGCACTTATTATGGAGCAGGGGGGCCGGGGAAAGAGAGTAATTACACTCGCGCTTGTTACAGACGAGAGCTCAAACAGTTTTCTTCTGTTAATAGGAGGACGCGGCGCGAGGGGAGCCATACTTTATATTCCATCCGGCTGCGCGCTATAGTTGACTGACTGTCTCTTCTTTTTAGGGGGGCACTACTTTCCTTATGGTCGTCTATAAAAGCGAATTAGTGCTAATGACAAGCAGACATGCGAACTCGGAAAAGACACTGGCTGACAATGAGTAAAAGAATGAGGAATGGAAATAATTATTTTATTTTTAATAGCTAATAAGAAAAGAAAAACAAAGCAAGGATTAAAATTACAAATCGAAGAAATTAATATTTGATCGTGGCTGAAGAAAAAGTGATATTTGTGTGAAACAGGAACCTATTTGAGGATTTTGTTTCTTTCCAAAATCATTTCCTAATAATTGGATTCTAAGCATGCTAAAAATGGTTATTTAATAATTTTACATTCAAATTATGATTTAAGGCGGTCATATTTGATGTAATATTTTACATTTTATAATTATAATTGCGGTAAAATTAGAAAAATGATTTGCAGTATTTGCAAACTTCTTTACCATCAATGTTTGTCATATTTTAGTTTCAGTGAGCTCTATTTTATTTTCAAATTAATAATATATAGGCGATAAAAATTTTTTCATCCAAACTATTATGATTAAGCAACATAAAATCTTAAGTACAGTAGAAATTAATAAAGCAAATATTAATGAGGAGGATTTTCTTCACTTTCTAGTTCATAAAAAAAATACTCTTTTCAAATAAATTTCTTTACAACAATTTTTCCCCAATAATTGCCAAAAATGGCTCCTAATGTTGAACAGACTTGATTTAATCATGACAATAAAGAGTCGTTAAAAGGCTTAGTGATTTGAAAAGAAAAAATCTTAAAAGTATAGATTTATGCCTTTTTTTAAATATATTCTACTCTATGAATTTAAAATGCAGAATAAATAATTTTTATAAATTTTAAATTCATTATAACCTTTTCATTGATGCATTTATTGTATATATTTTGTTGGATAAAAATAATACAAAATTACATTATCAACTTGAAAGTTAATAATAAATTACTAATTGAAGTTTGGATTTGTGTAGCCAAAGTAATAATACAAAAGATTTAATTTATTCTGCTAGATTAACTGAGCATTTTTTTTAATATTTTATTGGTGTTTAATGCAAAGTAATTTATGAACGCACGCAATTTACACAATAATAGTCCAACTCACTTTCAAACCGTCATAAAAAGGCGATTTTCAATCAGATTGGGTAAGCCACGACGACTCAGATTTTTATTTCTTTCCTCCACAAGAAATACCTACTTAGTTAAGTTTTTATGCTCGTCTGTCCGTCACAGTGACTTTAAAGTAAGTAAAAACGGTTCGGGGTCAGTTTAGTGCGTAATAATTTATTGTTGTTATCGTGCCGAAAAGAGAGACGCGCTCTTTATTGAGAGGACCCTTTAAAAGCAGGCGCCTAATGATTGCTCGTGTTTGAGCCATCAGGGTTATCAGGAAACACTTTGCTGCGGTCCATAAAACGAAAAGTGATCTGTCGCCACGTAGCACGTCTCTCGATCGAGCCGCGGCAGCTCTTTTTTATTTGTTCGCTATAAGAGCAGCAGAGCACACGCTGCACGAAACCGCCTTAAGAAGGTCTTGATAATAGACACTCGAATTAACTACCAAACCTGAAGACGGAAAGGAACTTGATAAATTTATAAAAGAGGTCTTTATAGGACGTGTGGATGAAGAAAGGATCAATCTGCGGCGGGAATTCAAAATAAAAGTAAACCTATTGTGTAACTGTTTGGGTTTTATTTAAATTCTTTGAATACTTAATATGTTGCCCACATAATCTAGAAAAATAATACCGGAAAAATAAATTAATTACTATGTAAAAAGATAATTATTTATAACAATTTTTAAAGATAAATTTGAAAGTTTCATTTAAAATAAATTTGATATTTTACAAACTAACTTTTGAATTGGCGTTGTAATGGAAGAGTTTTGACCTTTTGTCTCTTTTCTGTTTCAGCGACATTCCCCATAACTCGGCGGATCGGTCACCCGTACCAGAACCGGACGCCGCCGAAGAGAAAGAAGCCGCGCACCTCGTTCACCAGACTGCAGATCGCCGAGCTCGAGAAGCGATTCCACAAGCAAAAGTACCTGGCCTCGGCCGAAAGGGCCGCCCTGGCCAAAACGCTGAAAATGACTGACGCCCAGGTCAAGACTTGGTTTCAGAACAGGCGGACGAAGTGGAGGTCAGTTATAAATTAATTTCTAACTTTGAAAAATGAAAATTTCCCCCTCAAATATTATTCATTAAATTAAAATTAAGGAAATTATGGATGATATAAATGTGTTGAAATAGGAAATAGCCCAGAAGCTCAAATAATGAAAGTCTTGAAGTATGGCGGGGGCACTAAATTTTTTGCAACTATACATTCGGCCAATCATAGATTTTCGCACTTCGATATCAACCCTTTCTTATAAATTTAAGTTGATTGCGACCTTACCTTATCAACTGTGAATTTTTGTTTCATTTGCCAACATAATTTTCAAGCTCAGGTCCGCTTTTTAATTATAATAGCGTTCTTATTAACTCATGTCAGTTCCATAGATTTTTAAATAAAAAATATTATTTGAAAAATCCTCAAATTATATTTTCCAAATTGTTCTAATTTTTTTGAAGTAAAAATAGACTTCAATTTAATTATGTTTTCCTTTATTTAAAAAAGCGCTAAATTTAGTTCCCTTTGAAGCCAATCGCGGCGAAAGACAAACACTTTTTGAAGGAGCTGGCGACCATTTATTTACTCTCTCTGGCAAGACACACGGCGTTTTTTTTTTTATCGAGCTGCGGATCTGATGTTGCGCGGCGAGGCGTATTATCTCTGTTGGGCTTTACATATTGGAAAGAGCAGCCAGCGCGTCTTATAAAGAAACACGGCCCTTTTAATTACCTGCCGATGGCCGAGGCGTACAACACACACACACCAGATAGCGCGCGCGTTAATGGGTATTTCTTGTAGGGAGGCGGACTGCGCCACATAAACAATAGCAAATGCTCATGTTCGCCAAAGCGACTTGCATGTAAAATACCAATACACAATATATAAAACGTACGTGCCTCTGCCTCGCTGCTCGCTCGAACGTGCTAGCAGATTTATACCCATTCCGTCGCTTTTATTTCCAGCAGCATGTAAAGTCGCCGGGATTATATGTGCCGATTGTTAATTACCACGCAGCCACCCAGACGATTTGCATGTGTGTGGCATTCGCTTAATTAATCTCAGCAGCCCCTGCTTCCACCAATAATACAAATTTTATTCCATTTATTCAACTCCAGCAGTTTCTGCTCTTGATTTTAGCACATTTCAAGTATTTGATTTTTTTTTGTTTACGAAGATAAATTTAATAAAGTTGGTTAAAAGTTTGTTGATTAAGTTTCTGTTATTACTGAAGGAAATCATCTCATTTTGATTAATTTTATAAGTATTTTGACTAATTGTTTAAGGGCAAACCTTCGGATGGAAAGAAAATTTCTTCTTATTCAATTATTTAACTGAGAAGCTGTACCAAAAAGTTGAAACACTTTTAAGAACTTTTCCCTTTTTTGCCATTAACGCTTTAGACAATTTTCCTTGTCTTTTTTCCACTGGCTGCTCTTTTCCTTCCATTAATCTAACTAACAGCAGCGGCGCTTGAATGTCTGCCTTTTAATAAATTAAGCCTTTCCGCAATGAAATTTAGTTAATTGAAGCCAGATATAATGAAGTTAGCGCGACTGGCGAGCTGAAGCACCAAAAGGGAGCTGCTGCGTCGCTAGCTCTGATCCCTTATCTCACCCTGCCTGCCATTTGTCTCGCTGTCTCTTTGGCACAATGTTCTCTTCATTAGGTAAAGGCCCTTCCTTTTCTTCTTTCGTCCTCTATATCGCGGAAGAGAGGCTCACGTAGTGGATACTGACAATGAGGGCAAAGAATTAATGAAAATAAAAAAAATAAAATTCGTAAAAATAGAATCCTTTTCTCTTAAGAATATACAACTTGTTTGATATTATGGTCTAATTAAGTTTAATAAAGACAGTTAAGGATCCAATAGTTTTTTCTCATAAACATGATCGTATTTAAAGCAAAATCAACAATTGAAATGAATTCATTGTCAAATTTTTATAATGATCAAAAGAATAGCGTTTTAATGTAAGTTTCATTGTCAGTGGAAAAAATGTGTTTAATAAGATGTGCTACCAAATAGTTTAGAAATAGAGATTTTTATATTGAAATCCTTCAAATAAAATTTATAATTTCCTTTCATAATAATTTTTATCAAAGGGACCTTTTAAAATTTCACAATTCTCTGTTGAAATTTTCCTTAAATCAGAAAATGTGCGGTATAATGAAAACTTCAAAGTATATCTCTGTCTTTGCGCCCCCCATTCTGACTGATCACTTTGCCGGGTGACGTTTAAAAGGTGAAGGCGACACACACGCAGTCATCCTAACTCCCTTAATGCAGCGCACCAAGCCCAGCCGCGCCTGATTCGATTTTCTCATCTCTCTGTGCCGATCTATCCACCCCTCCTGCGTCTCACCCACCCCCGGGAGTAGCTTCTGGCTGCAACTTTGCCGCTATTATTTAAGTGAGTGCTCTTTGTCTCTCGCTCTCGCTCTGGGAAACCAGAAGCCAAAGAGCCCACCCTTAAAGGTGTAATAACTTTAACGAGGGGAAGGCAGACTGCGGCTCGGTTTTAGCGCCGAATAGTTAAGTTAATCGCCATAAAGATGATGTGCCTCGGGCCGGTAATCATTTCGGCCGCCGGCTTTTAACTTTTGCACGGCCACTTTGGCGATACCTTCAATTTGCGCTGCAAAGTTTCGGAGCTTGTGAAATTTTAATGAATATAAACGAGCTGCCACTCTGGATAAAACACCGTGCGATTAGACTCTGATAGCAACTTGCTTTATAGATTAATTGTCTAATTTTCATATATATTTATAACAACAACAAAAACATAGAAATAAATTACAAAAATATTGAACTTGTGTGTTACAATAAATATTTTAATTTGGGTATCCTTTTGATCTACAAAAATACAACAATTAAAATTCAATACTAAGTATTTGTATAGTTATTGGAACTATCTATAAAATAATGAATTTTGCTAATTTCCTTGAATTTATTTTTAAATATCTATGACGTCTTTTAGAAAAAGCTATTAGCTTAAAATAAAAATTATTAAATTAAATGCCTAGTATGGGAATAACAAATTCAACAGAAGATGCAGGAAACTTTTTGATAATTATAAATTACGCATTTTATGTCTTTGAAACAATGCAGCTCATGATGAATAATTAGCAAAACGAGGGGTGTTACCAAGGGGTAATAAAACGACGTCTGCGTACGTCTTCACGGTTTACACGCATCCTGCTGCTTGTCAAGACAATGTAACGCGTCGCTTTATGGGCCCATCAAACAGCCGAGACCGACTTAACGTCGTCAATTCGGGGCGTTATTAGCCGACGCAGCATCGCTCACTCTTGACGTTTTATGGACCAGCAAGTTAGGTTTTCAAAAGCTGCTGCAAATCAAATTTGCCTTATTAACGCCACGTTTTCGCAGACGAATAAATTTAATTGGAAAAAATGCATTTAAGTGGATAACGAATTACGAATGAGTTATTTTTCCATACATCTTAAAAAATAAAGAAATTTAATGTAAAATAGCCTTTCATAAGTAAAATGAGTGAAATTTAAATAAAACTACAGCTAAATCATTTTAAAAGATATTATATCATTTTTATGATTTTTTTAAAGGAGACCTAGACTCAAGGCTCAAACGTTATATTTTAGATCGTTTTCAAGCAAAAAATTTGCAAAAATTTTTCATTCAAAAACTTTCCCAATTCTGTAAAATGAAATTTGGTAATTGTAATATAAAATTCCTGATAATTTTATTTATTATGTAAATGTGTTCATTTTAACCATACATTGCATGATTATTCATTTAAAAAAAAAAAATTGAACAAACAATCTCCTTTCATTTTTTTTCCAAATAAATTTGTGTTTCGAACGAAAAGCCATTGTCTTTTCTTCCAATAGCACGTCCAACAATAACTTTCTTATCTCCCTTCACAATAAAAGACTCTCTCACCGTGAAAAAGTATGAGATCTCGGAACAAATGGCAATTTCATTCCCTGCTTGCCACCGCACAAGAAACAATAGCTCAATAAACAATAAGTGTACTGCACGCACCCCTCCCTGGAGAAAAATGATGCAGCCGCCGCATTAGGAAAGTGTCTCATAATCAGGTTAGACACAAGTTCTTCGAGGGGAACAATGATTAAAACATGGCCGATCGAAGCGAGAGATATGCTCTCGGTGCTGTTTCATTACTATTAACGCGCGCGCCCATCGCCTGCAGAAGTGATCTCTCGCTCCCCCAGCCGGAGATTTTAATTTGAGAAGTTGGCAGGCAGCACACGCGAGAGATAGAAGACGAGTCTCGAACGAGGGGATTTGCCGGGGATCAGAATGCCGGGATGAAAAGTGGCCGCGACACGTTGCGGAAAAGCAGCAAAATTGATATGTCGGCAAGGATCAAAAGCAAAATTGGAGCAAAGCTTTCAAAAATAGCTGGATGTGTTTTAATATAACTTTTAACAAGAGTCACAATATTAAATTTATGATAATATACTCAATATTTTAAGTCTCAATCTCTATCTAGGCCATTCAATTTTAACAAATTGAAAAATATTGAGTTAAAATGTGAGCAATTAAGATAATTATAGTTTTTTTTTCTTTAAATACATAAATTAAACATGCAAAAATATAAATTTTACCATAACCAGTTCAAAAAGCTTGCCAAAAACTTTCCAATAGCAGAGTGGTGGGGGAATCTTTAATCCATTAATAGGATCAAATACTTCCTTCTTCAAACTTTAGTCAACCCCCTTTATCAAAAATTTACTTTTAAAACTGAAATCTAATCGATTCCTTGTGATCCCAGCTTCGTTTTTTGTTACTAAAATTTACCATATTCAGACATAGAATTAAAATTTAAACTCGACCATAAATGAAATTTATGAAAAACTCACAATTAATACTATCCAAATATCAAATCACTTATTTTTAAATTGAGTGGTTATGAAATCGAGCTCTTCTGTATGAAAACTGTTAGTAATTTTTATCATTTTTGTTTTGAAACAACATTATCAATAAATCTAATTAATGAATGGTATAGGCTTAAATTTAGTCTGACAATCCGGTTTGTTAAAATTTTTACCTAAAGAAGAAACAAATAAAACCAGACCAATAAATTGTTCTCTTTTTCCGCTTTCTTCTTTATTTCCCTGCACACTCGGTCTCTTTTTCTCTCTCACTCCGTCCCAATTAATTTGATCTCCACGAGCTTCAATTAATTGGAATGTACAAGCTGCAGCGAAAAACGATCTCCTGCGTCGTCTGCGCCGAGGAAGGTGTTTCCACCTCTCTTAATGGCGATCGCAGTTAATTAATTAAATTTTATCGTCGCAGCAGCAGCTTCGTTAAAAATAAAGAGCCGCGCGGCAGATTTCGTCCTTAACTCTCCTCTCCCAATATTTACGGCGTCAATCGAGATTCTTTACACCTAAAAGAGTCCAAATATTTTCGACCGCCCGAACTCCACAAGAGAAATTAAAAAGACACCGCCTCTCTCTGCTACTGCGCTGATTAATAAAATACACCCAGCAGCTTATTCCAATCTGGAGATAAAAAAAAATAAAGGAGGAAAAAGAGCAGAGACTCGTCGTGAGCCAGAGGTCGCTAATTAACCGGTAAATGGCCTTTCGTTGTCGGCTCACATCACACATGACCGCCCTAATCGAAATCGAATAAAATGAATCCGCCACCCAAGATGACACTGGCGATATCCACGGCTGCTTAAAATTAAACTCGGCCGCCGCGTGTGGGACGTGACGCAGTCCTCACGCTATGACACGCACATAAAGAATTTCAGTTCAAAAGTTTTATATTATACGGCGATTGTTTAGGAAAATAATAATATACATGGTAAAAAAATTAAAAAGATATCCTTGGTGTAATTCAGAGTTTATTTTTAAGAGTATTAAATTATTCTTCCTAAAAAAGTTTGCTTAAATTAAACAATTAAAAAAAAATGATTATTTTCGAGAAATTTTTTATTTTTAAATTATTTTTTATTTTAAGGAGGGTCTACAGATAAGAAATTGCCGGATAAATTTAGCTAAAAATTTGGTGAAAATTATGGCTTAGAGAAATGAGGGGTTTGATTAAATTTTTTAGACTCATTTAAACCATGTAAAAGACTCTATAATAGAGAATAAAATGCATCAGCGCCACCACAGGCTAAACAATGAATTAATCTTTTTTGGACCACAGATCACTTTAAATCTCTGTACTCCATTCTTAGAAAGTTGAAGTATACGACATTTTAAATTTTTAAACTTCTTTTCAAAACAAGTTTGTCCATTTCTTCCTGCTGAAAACATAAAAAAGGAATTTTTTTTGCTATAAAATTTTAACGCTCTTCTTCCAATAGGAAGATCAAAATTGTTCAACTATTTCCTGGCTAGTTTTAAACCGAGTGATATTTTCCATTTTCTCCTGACAGGACAGAGTGACGCAAAGTGTTTTCTGATCGGTCCGAATGGAAGTCTTTCGGTTGCATACGCATCAAGGGGTAATCGAAGCAGGCCGAGTGTGTCTCTCGCCGCACAACGCGAAAAGCCTCTCGGACAATAAAAATAACAGGCAGTGAGTGCTGCTTTGAGAGTTTTTGACGGGCGCCGCTCGCTGAATATTTCAACGCGCTAAACAGCCGAGCCGTGTCCCCTTTCATTATTCACCGGCGCGCCTCAATAATTCACTGGCGAATTCGGCAAAAGCGCAGCTCGGTATTTCAAACGCAGGGACGAGCACAAGACGACCCTTCCGCTTTTAAAGTGTCAACTTTTCCATCAGTCTGGCGAGAGAGGAAAGAGAGCGGCCTGCTTTTTGATGACTTCTAATGCCTTGTTTTTGATTCGGTCCTTGTCCGCGTTAAAAGGGCTGTGAATTTTTCATCACAAAGCTACACTTCCTTTTTGTTAAATTTATATTTTGCTTTTTTTTGCACTCAGGTGTTTTAAGATAAATAAATATTTACACTGATTTGTTGAAGGTGAAAATTAAGTTTCATAATTTTATTTTGTAATTTTGGAGCATCTTTCCTTAATTTGTTACATAGAAGTTTAAACAGATAAATTTATTTTCAAGTAAAACACATGAAAATATGCTCAAAATTTAATTCTCCTCTACTTAGCCTCAAATTGTACCTTGCCTTATTTCCAAATTCCTACAATTTTAGCCAATGACTTTTTACGAAAATCCATAAATATTCGCCGCCAAAATGTCTCATATTATGCTTTTTTAATTGTCTACATCTTCTCGGGAAATATTATAACATTAAAATTATATTAATTTTTTCTTTAATGTTAATATTTCACAGAGGCTTATATATTTTTTCCAAGTTTTTATAAAAAAAAATTATTTAATCTATTTTATTATATTGTGAATAAATTAAATAATTATTGATAAGATTAAAAAAATTTTTATCCGTTTTTATTTCTAAGAAACAAACTAAATAAATATATTGTAAAGATTATTTTACTATCATTATCATTCCACCTTCTTTTAATTTAATGGATAATAATGAGAGTCTCTCACTAGTCAACAAAACAATCATTTTGCCCTCGTTAAGATTGTTAAGAAGTGACAATTTAGGCAATTTGATTTCATTAAAAAGAACACGGCGATGATAAGATGCGATAATAAAGGCAGCTAAGTTTCCCCCAAAAGCAATCAAGTCTCTTCTCAATGCTTCGCGGCTTGTCTGCGCCTCTTTTTTTATTTTCCCTTTCCTGCGTGCCGACGTCGCGGTTATTTCAGCTTGTTCCGAGATCCCTATCGCGCTGAAGTTCCAACTTGTTATTTCGCCGCGCGTGTTGTTATAGTATAATAATATTGTCTGAATAAAAAAAACGGCAGAGGCGCTTTCTTTTGGGCCGCGCGACCGCACCGCCGTGAATAATGAATGGTCCTTGCTGCGTTATTGGCACAATACAAGCGCCTTTCTTTGTTGCGGTGACAAATCAAATTGAAAGCAACATTAAAAAGAGCAGCGACTGCTTAAGTGCGAGATAAACAGCCAACACAAACACGGAGGCCAAGGCTTTTTTACTGTCAAGATTTTTTTCAATTAGCCGTTTTATTTCAAAAAAGGTGAATTAATTTTAATTTCAAAATCTCCAAAATAAATCAAAATTTTCATTAATTTTTTTTTAAATGAAAAATTGCAATGATTTGTTGATTTCTTTTTGCAAATATTTGTTTTCTATTTTTATTTGAAAAATATTTATTGCCTCTTTAGGAAAATAAAATATACTGACTGAAAAGGCATCGAGGAGAAATTTACTGAAAAGGTTTTTTTAAACACGGCCATGCAGTTTCTCTCTCTTTGGTGTCAACGAAACTCCTTAATTGCTTTAAAAGACGCCTTAATTACATTTGAAGGTTTTTCCAACTTTATACGAATTTGAAACCGGCCACTCAACTCAACAAACATGCCACTTATTGTCAGGCTGCACGTGATAAAAAAGCGCGTTTTTAAACGCGCCAACATAATTTGTAGGCGCAGCATGTGTCGTTCCTGAAAAGGACGCACGTTTTGCCGAAAAATGGGAGGAAGAGCCAGCAGGGGATTGAGAGCAAACACCATAATTACTTGCGTAAAACGACTCGCACGCACGTGCGTCGGATTTCGCTGCTTGTTTTGGCACCCCCCGGTGGCGATTTTTTACCTTTTTGTAATTTAAACGCTTTTAACGACAACGCGCGGGTTTCTATTTTTTGTCAACTGATAAAAATGATGAATGTTGTTCATTTTAAAAGCGAGTTTTCATGGCTGTTGACGACAAAGCTCTTGCATCACACAAAGTATTTAAAACTACCTGCATTTCCTTTATTGCAATGACTTCATAGCAGTTGAATACATAAGAAATTTAAAATGAAATATTTATTAATTTTCTCATATTTCAAAAGTTTGTTACCTTGTTTTGCCTTTGAAAAAGTAGAACTAACAGTTAGAATTTATTTTACCAAATTATGCTTTTCAATAAATATACACACACATTTTTTTCTTCTTCTATTTTAAAAATAATTTCCAATTGCAATTATGAATTTCGGATGATATTTTAATTTTGATAAAATTTATTCAAACTGATTGTGTAACATCTCTCATGAATTTATACATAAAATTTTAATTCGTTAATTTTCAAAGCTAACCCTGTGATTTCAAAACAGCAATAAATAATTGATACATTCGGCTGCTTTTCAATCAGTAATATACGTCGGCTGGATGAAAACGGCCCAGCGTGTCTGCCAGTCGAACGCAAAACATATTTCGCTCTCCCTTGCGTTAATTAAACCACAACACCCATAAAGTGCCAGTCAAAGTCGGACGCTGTCTGTGCATATTGGGGCCAATAATTGAGAGATAACTCGAATTTATTAAACAAGAGCAGCACGGCCGATAATAAACAACCACTAATAAATTATTGCACCTGTTGGCGTAATTGAATTTAATCGCTAATTTATTGAGCGTTCAGGCCGCGAAAATTAGCCCGTCCGATATACACGTACGGGCCGAATTTATCTTCCCTCTGGTGAACCGACTATGGGGTCGGACTGAAATTTATTGCTGGCAGGAAAATTGACGCTCTGTATGGAAACGGGGGATTCTGAAATTGGATGCGGTAAAAAATTTCAAATGGGATAAATTTGATATTTTTAATTAGTTCCAAATAAACGTTTAGGGTAGAAATAATTTTAAAATGATTTGATACATTATTTTGCTGTTGCTTTTTAAATAAATTTATTTCAAATTATTTGTGATTCTCGTTTTTATTTAGAAATGTTTCATAAATTTAAATAAAATAACAAAGTTTGGTGTGATAAAGTTATATTTTAATATTTTCTTTGACAATGAAAGTCATTTAAACTTGTTGCTTTTAATTTTTTCAATTCTTTTAAGATCTGAGAATTCAGAATTATATTCTTTGATAATAAATATCAAAATTCAAATAAAATTTTAATTATCTTCATAATTAATTTAATAAAATTAGATTTTCCAATTTTTAAAACTTTTTTATAACAATCAAAATTTTCTTTGTTCGCAGAAGGCAGACGGCCGAGGAGCGAGAGGCCGAACGACAGGCGGCCAACCGGCTGATGATGTCCCTGCAGGCCGAGGCCATGAGCAAGGGCATGTTCCCGTCGGCGGGGGCGGCCACCCCCTCGGACGGCCCCAGCATGCAGTCTCTGCAGTGCAGCGCCTCCCTCAGCGCCCTCCAGAGCATGCAGCCGTGGGGGCCGCCGCCCGGCTCGATGGCGGCCGCCGTGGCCGCTGCGGTGGCCGCCGCCCACTCGTCGGCCGCCTCTGAGCCCCCGCACAGCCCCCAGAGCGATCCCGGGGGCCTTTTGCATGCGCCGCCTTCGTACCTCAACCCGGCGCCCATGACGTCACCAATTTGCTGAAAAAATTCCATTTTTTTTGCCTAAGCCCAGAGATAGTCAGTTGTTTGTACATAATTTATTAATTTTACAATAATTTCTCTGCTGCTTGTGCAAGGAGAAATGTATAAAAACGAAATCTTGGAAAATTATAGTGATGAAGAAGTCAGATAGAATTTAAATTAGAAAAATTGAGCGTTTGAATGGATGGATTTTTGTTTGTAAAATATAGAGGACTTTGTGTAAAAACGGTTTATATTTTATAATTTGTGTAGTGAATGAATGTGAGAGAGGAAATGTGGAGCAATAAATGCGTTGAAGGATAAATTTTGAACCAAAAACCATCGATTTAATCCCTTATAAGGTTTAATGTAAAAAAATCAAAGATATTGAAATAAAATTTTGTTTAGCGTTCAAAATTATACAAAGAGATTGAAAGTCTCAAAATAAATGTGTTAATTTAAATGTATGAAAATGTTTTTTCTTTGAAAATACTACCTCATAAGATAAAAACAAGCTTAAGTGAAAAAAAATTAGAAAACGTTAATCAAAATTTGCGATAAAAAGGGTAAAAAGTGTTAAAGATAAATTTTGATGTGTGAACTGACTTTCAATGTCAAATGTGCCAGCACAGTTGCATTGAATTTGAAAAAGTCCCATTTTTTTACATTCGGAGATGAAGAGATGAGAATTTAAGACTCCAGAAATTGGATCAATAAAACTGAAATTTTTATACTCATAAAAATAATTTGTTAAATATTTGAAATTAAAAATAACTTTCAGAGAACTTTAGATTCTTTCCAAATAAGCTATAATTATTAATAAAAACTCTACATCTAAAAATATTTTCTTTGTTTCTCTTCCTCATTTCTTTTCAAAACTACTTTGCTATTTTTTATTGTAAGCAAAATTTTTCACCCGTCTCTGCTCACAGGTCTCCGAATATCGGAAAGGTTGATTTTTTTTCTGTTGGTCTAATGACGCAGATTCACGATCACGCAGGTCGGTGCCGCTTGCTTTCGTGCCGGAAGTGATCAGAGCACGGGCGCAACAATTGCCTTTGGGCCGCGAAACGAGCAAAGAGAGGCCGCCGACCGCAAAGACTAAATAAGAGCTGCGGGCGCCGCTAATAGGGCCGCCGAGAGGAAACTTGCTTGTTGACCTGTCAGCCAAAAACAAACTCGCGAGCGGCACTAAAGAAGCTAGATTACATGGCGACGAGCCACCCACTAATTAGAGGGGGTTGATGATCGGCGCGCAGGTGAGAGCAGAGGCTCAAGATGGTTTTATAATATAAAAAATAAAGGAAAGGAACGGTTCGCACGCAATCCGTCTCTCACCATTCGGCTCAATCAAAGGAGCCGCGAATTTGAAGTAAAATGAATGAAGAAAAAAGAGGAGATCTATCAATAATCTTCAAATTTGATTTATTAACAAATTTATTTAAGAAACTTAGAATCAAATTTAAATTTTTTTTTTAACAGCATCTTTCCGCATATTTAAAACTTTGTTCTGCATTAGAAAATATTAAAATTTTCATAAAATTCTCATTTTATTCTATAGAAAATAACCTTTTAATTTTATAAGTAATAAAAAAAATCTTAAAATTTTGTTCGTCTTTTCCATTTAGACTTATTTTTGAATTGTAGAAGCTGAAAATCAGCGGTCGCAGCGTCCCAATAAATAAATAACTCGTCCGTAAAACTAACCATTATTAAATTTTTCGCACCGGTAACTTGTGTCTTTAAAATATATCTTGATTTGGGCTTGTAACATGTGACTTACGTGTCAGTAAGTTGTGTCTGCCGTAACTTATTACCTACAAAACCGTATAAACTGGATTTAATTTGAACAAAAAATTAAATCCCTTTCTTGCAAACAAATCGTTTTTCAACTATTGATTATAAACAAAGTTTGATAAACAAAACAAAATAAAACAACAAAACAGAAATATGAAGAACTGACTGGTTAAATTTTTTTTAAACTTAACCTCGTACTTTCTTATTTAAATGAAGCCTTTTTCTGTAAGAGTATAACGACTTAGATTTTCTTTAAAATTTATATTTATATTTCGAAAATTTGTAACGCAGAATTCAATTCCTCCTTCTTTTAGAGTATACAGCGGTATACAGTATATAAAATGCATGGTCTATCACTATATCTGCTTTTATTTTGCATGAACGCGAAACAGATCGCATCTGAATTGGAACTTATTGGCGCGGTGGTCGTATAATATTTTGAGCATTAGCGTCTTCTCGTAAAAAACACACTTGAGAGAGCATAAATATATAGAGAGAGGGAGCAATCATCCTCTCCGTCCATGCTACTTATGCAGCATGGAAGATGCGCTATTTCCCCTTGAGAAGAAGCACTCAGCCCAATTGCCGCTGCGAAACCGGCGATTTATTACGAATTAATATTCAAAATATGTGTATGCAGGCCAATGTGCGGCTTGAGACTTCTTTATATACCCCGCGTTTGAATTTGTGTCTATCTTTTTTTATTGCAAAAGATGAGGTGATCGCTTCAAAAGACAAAAAACCTTGTAGTAAAACATAACCAACTATCAAATTTTTGAAAAGAAAATGTATTGTAAAATCCGTAAAATCAAAAAAATCCTTAGTGATAAGAGCAGCAATTGCCTCTTATTTGATGGATCAATCAACAAAATAAAAATATAATATGCACGTAATTTACAATAAAACAAAATAAAATTGAGGCAATAAAAATTGTCTGAAAACAAATATAAAAAAAATGTATGTTAATAATTGGAAAATAATTTAATAAAAAGATTAGTCCCTAAATGTGAATTCAAGATTATATTTACTGTCCATTTCCCCCCCCCCCCCCCCCCAATTCGGCAGATATTTGTGAATTATTCAGATTTACATTTAGAGTTTGCGACGATTTCGGTTTAATTGAATGCGAACTGAAATGGCAATGCATATCAGATAAACAGAGATAATTTATTATTTTCTATGATTATTGAATTAGAAGGGCGCCCACTCGCGACTAATGTGATTACGACTTTTATTATTTAGCCATGCCGTCGAGTGGCCCACTTTTGCATTAACGAGCGCCATCACAAGAGACTCCCCAGCAGATCGGAACAACAAAAGTGCTGCAATTGCATGTGTGTGGGGCGGGATGCATCTCACACATGCACGCGAGAGGGAATAATTGCAGTTGGGGTTAACGAGTCGGAAAAGATATTTCGCACGCGCAACATCTGTTGTTTTGGTCTAGGGACCGCAAAGTGCAGCTTGCGAGAGGACTTGAGCTTCATTATTTCTATAAAGAGCCAAAATTTCTATAAAATTTTTGTCAAATTCAGTAGATTTTTCAAGAGAAGAAATGAAGATAAATATTACCGAGAATTAAATTATTTACAAACATATCTGCTTACTTTTTAATTTTTTTTTTTAAATTAAAAATTCCAAGATAATTAAATCAATTAACTGAAAATCTGTAAGAATGGAAGTTTGAAGAAGGGAAATAAAATATGGAACAAATTTTGTTTAAGCATTTATTAAAATTGAGTTTTTTGAGAGAAAAAATATTTATTTTTAATTCTCCAATGCCCATTTTGTCTTCAAATATGGAAAATATTTAAATTGATTAATTTAAAATCTACGTCGGTTAAAATTGCAGCTCCTGTATTTATTATTTCAACTAATTTGAAATTTTAACACATTTTCCAGTTTGAATTTGGAATTGGCTGCGACTCTGTGCGCGGCAACCCCGGCCAAAAGTTGGGAGTGAGTTGTGTGCGAAGTCAATTACCCATCACACAGACAGGCCGGCGGGGCGTAGTTAATAAATATTTAATTCCGCCTCTGGGATTTTCGCTCACCAAATTAAAGCGTGATCAATTTTTGATAAACGCACAGAGACACACACGTTGCTCCAAAAGAGAGAGAAAGGGACGGTTTTATCTCTCTTGGGGATCCAAGTAGCGCAATTAGGGGCGGGAGAGAGCGGATAGAGTCGTCAAAAGGCACAAACACAAAAACCACCCCCGGCTGCTCACAGGGAGGAAAGTCAAGTGAGTGCGTGAGAACAAACTTGAATATTCCCAAACGTATTGAAAACGAGCAAAGAGTTTTAACCTCACCTCGGAGAGTAATGAATTTATAAAAAGGCACTATTCCTACAATGAAAAGAATTAAAGATAGGAAAAGAAACATGCAACTGCTTTTTAATTTAAAATTGTGGTTTAAATTAGAATTATTCACTTCATTTTCATTTCTTCGATCTTAAGAATTAAATATTTGATAAAATTATACAATTTTAGTGAATTAAAATAGCACTTTTCAACATTATCGTCCTGTCAATTTCCTCAAACAAATACACATTAGAATCTTTAATTTTTTCAGGGCGATCCAAAACGTAACGTGGTTCAGGCAAGTTTAGTCGTGTTTCTTTTATAGCCAAGTCGTTGAGTTTTCAAATTTATTTTCTTTCAAATCTTTTCAAATAATTACTTAATTGATTCAATATCTTATAAAAGATATTTCATGCAATCTGGTTGCAATTTGAAATAATGTTGAAGACAAGCTTTTAAAATTTCTAATATTAATTTTTTACTTATAGACTTTTTCACGATTTGAGATTAAATTTTCAGTTCTAGATTCTCAATTCTGAAGGAAAAGTAAAGAAACTGAATTTTTACTAATTGTTATGTACATATTTTTTTAAATATTTGAAAACTTATTATTCTTACTTTCAAACCGAATTTTTCACACACAGCAATTTTTTATTTATTTTTTCCTTTTCTTCAGTATCAATTTGACAGTATGAAATTTAAGAAAATTGAGCAGTGAGATCATCGCAGGCAAATAACACCTTTCCGCCTCTCTCAATTTTTTCATTTTTATACCTGGTGCAGTGACAATAATATATTTTTCTCCTTGCTTTATCATTATATATTTATTTCCTGGGCCAGACTCATTCAATCTCGGCATCCAGGATGAATGAATGGGACACGAACGCTGCACGACGGACTTATTTGCGGTTATTCTCGAGATCTCTCGCCAGGGATAAATAATCGGAGTCGGCCGACAAGAAAGGATTTCTGGCGTTACATTTCCCAACAAACACACACCTCATTCTTGTGTGAGATCAAAACCAACAGACACAACTTCCTGCCCGACGAATGCACCATCTAATCAGATCATTTTGATCGGGGAAAACTTATTTATTTTGAGTATTTTTTGTAATATACGAAGAGAGGAAGGAAGGAAGGGCAGACAAAAATTTATATAATCAAATGCGAAGGCCGGAATTCTAAACATACCTTCTACTGCATGACAAGAGGGCTCTGCTTTTTCCCGAAGAAGCAGATAGATTTAATATTAAAAAAATTAACCACTGACCTTATTGAAGGTCATGCACTGGCTGGTCTTGAAAGCAGGGCGACTCCATGATGTCAGGCTTACTGAATGATGATGGGGTTTGCTTTCC